TGTCTGCACTTCATAATTATCAACAAAACTCATACGCTTATATACTGACTCAAACGGTCATATACACTAAATAAACGCTCATTTACAGTACCCAATTGCTCATACGCGCGTCCTTCAGACATACAGTGTATACGCTACTTAAACTTTGATATACGGTTCCCATCCGTTACTCATACGTTGATATACGGTGCATGTACGCAATTCTTACGATGACACACCTTGATTACTCATAAGGTATTAAAACACAGGTTATACGGTGCAAATACGCTTTAATAGTATGCGATTTCTACGCTGATTATTCGTTCTTTCTCATACGCCGAAAAAAGGGCCGTGGTTCCGTAACATTTCAAACGATACCGCAAAGCCACCGTCTACTCTGCCTCAGCACAGACGCAGCGCCAAAAGAGATTTATGGGTACAGTATACGAGCACCGCACGGGCATCGCTTGAAATGTAATCTAGGCTTAATCTAGGCTTTACATTTGTAAGACAAAATGTGCGGTATATTCTAATCAATTTTCCATTTTGTTGATCAATCAACACTTTACATAATGCGATAAAGCGTCACATAATATTGGGGGAAATCAGCAGAATTGCAACATATTCTTCGTTGTTAACCGCAACATCAAACCGCAACATCAATAATCATGTAAGATATTATTTTTTTAGGTCAGTCCCCTCCATCTAGCAAAAGTGCAATCTTGAGCAAGAAGAGTAATTTCATTGTTTTAAAAAGATATATAAAAGGACTGTCATTTTAAACATAGAACAGGCAAAAATTTTAGACTGAATTTTGGGATTTTTTACTTGGTATGTAAAAATGTCCTTCTTCCATAACAAGTTTAAATATGAGATTGTTCAAGGAATGCATATAATGCTACAACTATTTGCCTCCTTTTCTCTGAATAAACCTTGTTAAAAATGAAAATTATTGTAGCGGGCCCTGCAGGTGAGTGTAGGTAAACGCACTGCCGGTGGGATGTAAGTAAACGCCCTGCCAGAGGGGTGTAGGTAAACGCCCTGCAGAGGGTGAAGGTAAATGCCTATAAAGAGGGAGTGTAGGTAAACGCCCTGCAGAGGGGGTGTAGGTAAACGCCCTTTCGGTGGGGTGTAGGTAAACGCCCTGCAGAGGGGGTGTAGGTAAACGCCCTGCAGGCGGGGTGTAGGTAAACGCCCTCTCGGTGGGGTGTAGGTAAACGTCCTTTCGGTGGGGTATAGGTAAACGCCCTCCAGAGGGGGTGTAGGTAAACGCCCTGCAGGCGGGGTGTAGGTAAACGCCCTCTCGGTGGGGTGTAGGTAAACGTCCTTTCGGTGGGGTATAGGTAAACGCCCTCCAGAGGGGGTGTAGGTAAACGCCCTGCAGGCGGGGTGTAGGTAAACGCCCTCTCGGTGGGGTGTAGGTAAACGTCCTTTCGGTGGGGTATAGGTAAACGCCCTCCAGAGGGGGTGTAGGTAAACGCCCTGCAGGCGGGGTGTAGGTAAACGCCCTCTCGGTGGGGTGTAGGTAAACGTCCTTTCGGTGGGGTATAGGTAAACGCCCTCCAGAGGGGGTGTAGGTAAACGCCCTGCAGGCGGGGTGTAGGTAAACGCCCTCTCGGTGGGGTGTAGGTAAACGTCCTTTCGGTGGGGTATAGGTAAACGCCCTCCAGAGGGGGTGTAGGTAAACGCCCTGCAGGCGGGGTGTAGGTAAACGCCCTCTCGGTGGGGTGTAGGTAAACGTCCTTTCGGTGGGGTATAGGTAAACGCCCTCCAGAGGGGGTGTAGGTAAACGCCCTGCAGGCGGGGTGTAGGTAAACGCCCTCTCGGTGGGGTGTAGGTAAACGTCCTTTCGGTGGGGTATAGGTAAACGCCCTCCAGAGGGGGTGTAGGTAAACGCCCTGCAGGCGGGGTGTAGGTAAACGCCCTCTCGGTGGGGTGTAGGTAAACGTCCTTTCGGTGGGGTATAGGTAAACGCCCTCCAGAGGGGGTGTAGGTAAACGCCCTGCAGGCGGGGTGTAGGTAAACGCCCTCTCGGTGGGGTGTAGGTAAACGCCCTGCAGAGGGGGTGCAGGTAAACGACCCAAATGACAAATTGAATCATAGAAACAGATAAATGCTATTGGATGTGCACGTCACGCTGCTCCCTCGCCGTGGTGCATTAACCCAAATATGAATGACTTTTCTTTAATTGTAAACATCAGGCAGGGAAATGTGCGATTTTTTTCAATGCTCAAGTGGCGAAACGAGTTTACTATCGGTCTGCCCAAGAACAGTATATACATGTATAAAATAATGCGTCGCTGAAAAAAAATGCTGTTGTAAATTATTGAGCCAAACAATCAATGACGAAAAATAAGTACAATAAGATGAAGATCTTCATTTGTCAAATGGTTGTGGAGCCCCTTAAGATTTAAGTTGCGGAATACGCGAAGAAATAAAAACCTTATCACATAACTCCCATCGGAAAATTGAGTACATTAATTCGTGAGTACAATAATTAGCACAGTAAAGTTATTTTGAGAGAGAAAAAAAAACAGTCAGGTGCTCATAAACTGACTGACCGCTTACAAAGGTTGTCAAGATACCGGTAAAAGAGGAGAGTGATAGCTAACAAGAGTACGTTGAAAAGTGAACAAACGAGGGACACCAGAATCGGCAGTGTATGGACATACAAGCACGATGTCTAGTCATGATAAAAAGCTTCATGGTTGAAGCTGTGTTTTACCTACACTGTCTATAGTTGTGCAATACATCGAAACACAGGAGCACGCACTTATTTGTGAGCGTTTACAAAAAAGCGCTACATATAAGAAGTACCTAACAATATTTCATGAAAATAAACTTTTTTTCGCCATTAATGCACTTCCTTTGCCTCAAGGAAGATAGGCACGTTAGGTTTTTTTGGCCTTATCCGCTAATAAGGAAATGAATATTGACATACTTGTATTATGAAATAAAGCTGTCGCATCAAAAATACATCGGGGTGAATTTGTTAACTCGAGCTAATAAGGTAATAACATTTTAATGTCTTTGTTTGATGGAACATTTAATCAGGGGCTCATGTCACATAATAAAAAAATTCAAACACAAACGGTGGCACCAGATTCCAGTTCACACACACACCTTTGTCGTCACCGTTGCCGATTTTCGTGAAAAGTAACGACTTATATTAACCCGATCAGTGTCTTACTCCAATTTACAAAGCAGTTTAATTGACGATAAATTGGGGACGTGATTTAAAAGTAGAAGCGCGTGAGGCGTCGAACAAAACAACAAGAAGGGGAATTCTTGCTCTAAAAAGTCATATTTTACTGCACTAATACCTAGATTTAAAAAAGTAATTTACATAGATGACTTGAGAAAAAAAGCAATTTTCACCAATTAGGCCATTTGGACGCATCGATCCAACCTAAAGTTTGGCCACACTATACGCTTAAGCGGGTGGGGTGGTGATAAAGCAATAGAAAAAAGGTCTTTGTACTCTTAAAGTTTTTTATTGCAATAATATAAAAATAAGTATTTCACATAAAAGATATGGGAAAAGCTATTTTGCCAAATATAAGACTTTATAACGTACCGATACCCCATGAAGTTGTCCAAAGTATTGAGGAATAATAAAACTGGTACTCATTCTCTCTGAGTGAACTTAAAAGAAATATAACAGAAAGTTGCGACCATCTCAGACATTGTTAACGAAATATATGTGTTCAGTGTTTTATTCTGGCACCTTAACTCTTCAGTTCCAAATCCACGTTATCTCTTGTTCAGTATATGTTAATGGCAGTTTCAATCACCTAGGCTTGTGAATGTCCACATATAGCCGTTTCTAGGTCGCATGTTAGGTCTCTATATTTAGCAGAAAAAGACAAAGAAGGATGCACATTAAATAATGCCTACAAACATTTATCAAAGCTCACAGCTAATAACTGACTTCTTTTTAGACCACGGATAAGAACCGACTTTTATTTGCTCGTTTTGAAGCTTGTATCCTCTATAAATTCTTTCTGATCTAGAATATTACAAAAGAAAGTAAAAGCGACCAAACGCAAAAGTAAATCTTACTGCAAGTTATAAAAGACCGGGATAATACCACTTACATCTCTCCTTCCTAAAGACATTGTAAATTGGGAGCGAAATCATGTATGAGGCAAAAATGATTGATACCCCCAGTAAGTACCCCTGTTATTCATTGTACGCTCGCAGGTCGACAGTGTTAATCATTCAACTTAAAATGCTTAATTAGATGTGGGTCATCATTGGTGAAATTAAGTTAGGGAAGTTTTACAAAATTGCTATTACACGTATCAAGTGCTGGTGATTTATGTAGAATTGATTTTTCCAAAACTCCTGTTCCACAATCTCCTACTTGAGGTAATAACAACGCCATGTTTCGGTGAAAATGACATTTACGGTTTTAATATATTTCCAGTCATCACGACAGCTATCAATACCATACAATAATTACAGTTTTGGGTCTCTATGAAAATGGACTACGAACGGAGTGCCCCCATTTTCTATTTAAAGATGTCATTCAGATTCAATCAGCGAGTGTAAAATCGGACTTTTCTTCAGTAGTTTTCCGGTTGTGGGTCATAGATTTGGAATAAAAGGTCTAAGACAACAGTCTTTTCTTCGTGTGTTTGACGATAAAAGATTACTTAACTAAAATAATTCAAGACTGTTGCTTAAATGGTAACATAATTACGATGACAAATGACGCATTGAGTAATCCCTCATTTTGCCACCGCGGCGCCACAGAGCAGTGGACATACATGTGACACGTTGACGCATTGTGAACATGGAAAACAGTATGAAGCGGAGTAAGATGATTATTAAAATCAAAAAGATTAAAACATAATATACAATCATTCGTAAGACGAAGTTACAGCAAATGAAAGTAAAGAAATCTGCCGTGGATTGCATAAACAGAAAAGAAACAGATGGTTGTTCAAGGTTTGTGTCCTTTTGTTGTCTAAGCCTTTGAGAACCCATGAACACATTACGTATCTCAAACTGATGTTTGTTATCGCTTTTTATTGTTGTAAGTATGTTGTATCTCTTTTTATCCGTGAATGTAGATAAAGATATAATGTCAATTAGTAGTGAAAGCAAAAACAAATCGACCTCGACACTTATCATGCTTATTTATCAAAGTCAAGAGTAAATCGTTATTGGCGGGAAAGTAACTACAGTCCCTTTCAATATCTTGCCATTTAACTGCAAACAGAAAAGCATGGCAATATTAAATGTTTAACCATCTAAGCCTAAACTCTCTGCAGCTTCAATATTGTGTTTTGCGATTCACAACTAACGCAATGAGAAAGATTTCAAGCTGAACATATAAGAGTCAAATCGGATTGTTTTGGAACGGAAATAATTAAAAATTTTGGAAAATAACATAAATTGTTTATTTTGCATAGTTTAGAACACCATAGTATTCAGTTCACAGCATATAACTTAAAAGCACCAATCTTGTTACAGCTATAAATAAACAGCTATTTGCAATCCAGACTTTGCATTTAGCGGTGTAAAAATGACTTTATAGTTCTTTCCCCTGAACACTGACATCATTGTTACTCTTAATGGGATATTGTTCCCTAAAAGCTACTACCTTTTCCTCGACTACTTTATTTCTTTCTTCATTCAAAGCTTTTTTGAGTTCCGTTCTCTCTATATCAGGAAGCAAAAAGTGGACAGACGGTGCTGAGTCGTTCTCTTTTGAACGACTGTGAGCGGCGGCCGCGCTCCGCCACCTACGTGCATAAGATGTTGCCACTTGCACTCTGTTTACAACTTGGGCCATTTTTGGCGTAGCAGATTTTACAATGCCCTCTGCGAACCGTGATGGTCTCTTACGGGGCATGACAAAGTCAGCCGAGGTAATGCGTACCTTTTTACGAAGCACCTTTTCTAAATCGTTTATATTCAGATCAGCATATGCGGAACTCCTTGAGCGCGAGCGGGTTGACGCTCGACTCGTGCACCGGGACAAACCAGGGGTAAAAGACACTGCGCCAACACTGCGACTCCTGCTTATAGAACGATCCATAAATGCCACTTTTGGAGTTCCTGGTGGCTTGGGAGTTTTACTTAGTTCTATAAGTTCTTCGTTTTCATCATCAGAGTTAAAAAAATCTTTTTCATAACCAAGCGAAAACCTTGGTTTCGACAAGTTTTTTCGTAAGCGACTTGCCGGTGTGCTTTTAGGACGCACACTGTAATTTGAGGCCTCAGACGATGCGTCACTAACAACACTGTCCCGGCGACATCCCGCTGCAGACTGAACGCGACGAGTCCGCGGTGAAGGAGAACTAAAAGCAAATTCGTCCCTTTCCTCGTCGTCTTCGTCATCCTCTTCTTCCTCGATTTCTTCTTCTTTTGAAAGAGGACGCTGCACTCGGGAGTCGTTGGCTGAAATTGCTTTGCGTTGTTTCCTTGCAAATCGTCTGGAACCTATTCTCTCTCCATATAAAAAACATGACATCGCTTCCTCTTTCTGACCATCGTCCACAAAGTCGGGTGGTAGTCCCTCTGGGCTGTGTCCGCTACAGGCTTGGATATGTTCTAATGCCAAATTGACTAGTCTGATATCATTATTGGTGACCCGAAATGAATGGACCTGTGCTTTTTCTATAAGCTGCATTTTTCCTAGGGCTTTCGTGTATTCGATGTTGTTAATTTTATATGCCCGTTGTAATCTCGTGGAGAGAATGCTTGGTTTTTCCTGTGCTGCTGCAGGCATTTTTGTTATTAAGTGAAATAAAGAAAACCGTTACCTTCGCTAATAAGATCACTAGAATACTATCTGCGCATGCACGGCATTCGTTTGCTAGTATTCAGAATGCACTTTTGTCTACAGCTCTTGTACCGTAACGTTAATAGCCTAATCGTTAACAATAATTCACAACTAAGTGGTCAGTTCATGTATAACCCTGAGGTAGAGATTATCCTTTATAGTAGTTTGTGCCCCTTTGAACTCTTAAAGGAAATCCATATCGCGGGCATTAATACTTAGTACAGCAGCAATAAGTGGTTGTCGAGATCGATTCACTTCCTTCACTAGTCATTAAGTTTCATACACGTACAGCTCAGCTGTGGTAGCTATTCAAGGCATTTATTTAGTGAAAAGCATCCTTGATGACCCATACAGCACGCAAACGATGTCCTAGAACATAATAAAAGATATTCCATTGTTAATTTAAACATAAATGAATCAAAATATTAAATGATATTGATTATTGCTGAATATATGGTTTTCAAACAGACCAGTTCACAAATGCTATATCGTTGAGACAACATCAAATGAATTTGACACAATTCCTATACACTTAGCTTATCTGCAAGATAAAAAAGTCGAAGTCCGAAAGCTCTTATTGGTCTCCCACATCGAACATTTATCTACTGTGGATACACGAACTTCATATTATCTTTCATTTTACCCACATACCCACTATGAATTTGAAGGCCCTATGTGTTTACATTAAACAACAAGAGTAAACAGCTCTCATATAACTAATACATTTATCACACGCAACAAGGCATCTACAACCTATCTATTTGGCTACGATTATTATATTCCTTTTGCCAACTTCAGTTCTCAGACAAAAGGCAGTTCATTTTTTCTAACAATATATAACTACAATAATATATAAATTTTGAATCTATCATAAGTTAGTTATTAACTGTACTGGATGGTTGAAAGGGGAAGAAGGGTACATTTTCTATTTTTGAATGGTTCGTGATAACATTTGAGCTGCATACAGTAGATTGCAGAGCTACTACATGTACAAGACATACATGTGTATACATCATTCACTTGAATCCAGGGTTTATTAACGACGTTCCTATAGTAACCAGGCAAAAAATGTGAATGTTGCTGAAATATCAACCCGTAGTATTCACGAGCTTATTCAATATTCCCTTCCCTCTTCAATTTAGTAAGAAGTCCCAATACAATAAGGTAGATTAAGCATCCGTAAACCATTCGTACATACACGACACATATAAACTGTCAATCAAAGTAAAGCAAGTCATAAAATACAAGTACTGTTGTTTTTAAGACAAGATTTTTTTACATGTACTAGTAGCAGCGTGACTGGTACTATGGCATATGTGGTACTTGATTTGATTCTATGGTAAATACATTTGTAAGACGAAACAACATTTTAAAAACGAAACGAAACGTACAGTCATACCCAATTTAAAGCATCTAAAAGGGGTGGATACAGAGAGTAATGTGAGAAAAATTACGATGATTTATATGCCACAATTTCTGTAATAATCAACTTTAATGTGAACAGTATTACCTTGTTTACTGACCCCGTAAAAATCAACTTGGCTACATGATAAATGCCAAACATGTGAACCAACAGATCCAGTATAATACATTGTTATTGCCACTTACAAGCCGTGTAGAACCTACTGCCAATACTTACCACTGTGCGGGAAATGATCACTTCGCCAGCCTGCTCAAGCTGGGTCTTGAAAGCCCTCAGTCTCATTAGTTGTAATTGTACAGGCCACTTACTGACCGACTGCCGTTCGCTACTCCGTTATTCAAACACAAGAAGCTTCAGAAGTTCCTTGATTCATGTATATAACCGTGATATTTCCCCTGGTTTTCGGCACGATGTGACGTTTCAGGTCTCTACAAAGAAAATAAATAGGCCACAACGCTTTGTTCCAACTGCTGAAAAGCGTCAATAGAGACCTGCCTTAGTTACCGTTGTACGCGGCCATGAATGTCCCGATGAATATGTAAGACCTCTTTATTCAACCGTATTTGCCTTGTTCATTCAACAGCAAATTTGCTTACTGCTTTTATAAACACTGTTAAAACCAATGGTGTTTTAATCGACTTCGATTTCTATACCTCTTGATAAGAAGATTAAGATAATATTAATTTTTATGAAAAGGAAATTCAAATTGAAAGGGGGCACTTAAAATGAGATATATTGTTATTTACATCCACGTCATCTGGGGTGCATGGGTTATCAGTTTATCCAGAATTCTGGTTGGGGAACCAAAGATAAAAAGAAGCAATTATAATCAATCTTTCGCATGCGTACTGCGTTCGTGCAGTAATGAGTTTTGGTTTCTACTTTTTATTGTTTCTTTTAACAAAATTCAAAGACCTTCACTTATATTCTTGCATGACCCTGCTTTCTCCAACACTGAGCCGATTTTATATCACTTTTGTCTAATACTAAATCATGCGGTCAGACTTTTCACCACTCCCGAACTCGTCGGGAGTTCCCCGATTTGAAGACACATTTCCCGTTCTCCCTATTCAGACTAAAATTCTCCCGATCTATCAGTTTCTCTCTTTCCTTTCGTTAGAACGTCACAAAAATGCGTTCTTAGCTTCATTGATGGAGGGTAGTGATTGTAGCAAACGATAAGGAGGAAATGCCAAATACAAAACAACCTCGGATCTTTGTATGAATACCATCTTGGAGACTTTATTTGATAATGTTGTAATGGGACGAAGGAAAGGAACCGAGATTCCATTCGCGTGCATTGTTTGTATCAATGATATTTACATGTACAAGTAGACTTCCTCGGTTAACGTTTAAATGAACACCACCTCACCCAGCTGAGAAAGCAAAACTTCTCCCGAACTTTCTGGCCACGTGCCTGCGTATCCATAATACTTTTGTCTTACAATTCTCTTTATTTTAGTTAAAACACAACATTCACTTTGATACAAATCAAGAGATTTGTGTTGCGTTGTGAGTTCTTAACTCGAAGTGGCTTTCCGAAGCGGGAAGCCTGTGGCCGGTAAAGCTTTTTTTCGTGTGTGTGTGTGTGTGTGTGTGTCTGTGTGTCGGGGTGGAGGACGTAGGGCGTGCGAGGGAATCTCCCTCTCTGCCAATGTGTCAATATTAACAGGTATGCACAATGTCTATAACACCCCTCCAATGCCCTGCGCGTGGTATGCGTAAGGTATTACAGGATAATTTTCAGCAAAGCGCAGTCACGATCATCAATGCTGAAAGGCATTTAATGTGAAGCCTGTATAATTGTGTCCATTAACAGCGTCTTTTTGTCTTTTTAATTTTTTTCACTCTAGAATGGTTTTTATGATCTTGGGATAACCTGCTTTTAAAAGTTATGCCATTTATTCTTCTGGGCTTAGAACAAACTGGCGGATAAAGAAACCATAGAAAGAGACAGGAGATAAACGCCCTATAACAAGTGATAACAGATTCACTGTGCATGGCAGACGATGTTGGGATGATTAAAAGTTATAGACATTTCTTGCATCGTTCATCGATTCAGTCATACATACGCATGCACAGTAGTTGCTTATTACGTCCAATCACAAGATCGTGACAAGAATCCCCTGTTTTCAGGCACCTGTCTTAAACTGTTTACAGTAATGTTCCCTCACTTTAATACATACTAGTAGTAACTATAAATACTCGTATCACATAATGAGTTTTAACGCTGCGAGTTTTCTTTCATCAACTCTTCCTTTTGTTGCTCGTTCTCTTTCAACTTCTCTCCAGATTTTGCTCCTCCTCATTAATTCTTCGTATGAAACGTCATATCTTGTTAAAGAATTCGTATGCTTTATCTTGCAGTCCTTGTCATTGAAGGACACAGATCTCGTTACTGTGCTGTAACGTGGTAAAGGTGTCACGGAATCATAGAATTCACGGTCCACGTTTTCCGTGCCCACGGAATCTAAGGAGTCAAGAGAAGTCATGGAATCTGAAAACAAACCAATGATGTGTAAATACGGAGAAAAACAATAAACTGTTATAGCGTCCTATGGGTTTTGAAACACATTTTAGCAAAAAAAAAAAATAAAATAAAAATAAATAAATAAATAAAAATAAATAAATAAATAAATAAAATAATATAAAATAAAATAAAATAAAATAAAATAAAATAAATAAATAATACATGTACTTATTTCAATACATACATGTAAGGCCTACTTATTTCACTTGCAAAGCAAATACATAACATGTTGATCTTAATGTCAAATTCACGCTACTAGTAGAAACAATCCTTTTCAAGAGAATAGCAAAACCTTTGTTCGGGCACAAACTCTTTTTTTTAGACATTTTATGTCATGTTGGAGACTCATGCAAATTCTACACAGTCTTTTTTCATCTGAATATTGAATCTGTAGTGTAACAGTAGATGAGTTCACGTTGGATAGGATTTTAATCTATTTCATTTTTTGAAAAAATCACTTTAGAATTGCAGAAACGTACGTGGATTGTCTTAGCATATTGAAAACAAAGGAAAAAAAAAAGATGCAGAAATCTATTTTATGATGAAACACAACGACGGAGAAGGCAGGGAACCAGATTAGCAGGTTTTGGCCTGGAGGAATACTGTATAAGATATAAGCGTGTCCTGTTCTCATAACACATGCGCGCCCCCTTCAGTCGGATTTATGGGATTTCCCAGTGACGTAGCTGATAATCAATACGCATACATAGCGTCTTCCTCTTCCTGAATGTAAAAAGTCGTCATAGATTGAGCTATGTAAAAATAATAACCCAAAATGAACAACACTACTCAGGATTATTATGAAATTTTAGGAGTAAAGCCGGATGCCTCTTTGGAGGAAATCAAAAGAGCTTTTCGACAGTTGGCGCTGAAGTTCCACCCAGACAAAAACAAATTAGGCTGTCAAGATTCAACAAAGACATTTCAGTTAATCGGAGAGGCGTACTCCGTCCTTAAGGACCCTGAGAAGAGAGCGAGATATGACAGAGAAAAGAAATTTACATCGGGAGTGAGCGCCCAGCTGTTTACACCAGAGGATGCGTTCGCCGTGTTTGCAGACTTTCTGTATGGTGGGAATATTCCGGAGTTCTTTCGTGAGGGACTTGAGACCTTTATTACTGTCCACGTTCCGTATGATATAGCGCTCAGTGGAGGGGAGATTGACGCCGGGGTCAATGGTGAGACACATCGAGTGAAAATCGATGGGATCGTTGCTGGTAGTTGGACACCCATCATCAGTTTTACAACGAGAGATGGCGAGAAGGTGAATGTCATTTTACAGGTTCAATTTCCTGAAAATTGGCCACCTGAACAGAAACGAAAGTATCAGACTATTTTCTTGTCCACGCAACTCGTAGCCATTCTGGCACCATCAATAGGGACATTCGTCAAGGAGCACCCACTGCTAAGCCTAGGAATAGGGGTGGGGCTCGGATTTTGCGCAGCAGCCTTGGGTTTTGTTGCAGTTATACGTGGTGCAGCAAGACGATGACGTATAGAAACCTGACACAGCTGTCTGTTTGCCACAATAGACACGCCTTCTTCAATAGTCATACCCGGTATTGATATGTATATTTGTACGCGGGAGACTTAATGCTTAGGCTCCTGTGAGAAAAACCAACATTCTTTGCACGAGTTTATCATCTGCTTATTAAACACGGTACATATGCCAAGTTTTGCCTACGATATAGTGGGCCTATAACGCATTGGAAGCTTGCCTATGTATAATCCCGACATTCCGCCAGGAGGCCACTACTTATCTGTTTTTACTTCTCATTATTGATGTATTTTCTTATTGTGTCTTTGAATGAATACGGAGTGTATTATCTCATAACTATTCGCTTTGGATGAAAGATTTGTCATTTAAACACCCTAATTGAAGATTTTTGCGCAATATTGCCAGTTCCCTAGAAGTGTCATTGGAAAGAACATTTTGTATTGTCAACGCACTGTTTAGAAGTATGAAGAAAGGCTTTATAAAAGCTAAACTGCTCTAATCTGCACCAAAATGACAAAGTTATATGCACTGATCCTTCATACTGTACTTGTGTTATTTATAATTCTATGGGTTTTTAGTACTGATTAATTGTTAATTTTTATATGAAAATCATGAAAATAATTTACCGTCATAAATATAATACGCATCGTCCTCTTCATCGTTTTCTTCGTATTCCGAAAAGCTCCTATGTATCTTCTCTGGTTCACTGTATTTTTTGGTGGGGAAAATTGGCACACCAAGGCGGCTGTAGTTTGGGGGCACTCGCATGCTTTCACTTTTGATAATAGGCGACCCACCACGACTTATGCGCCTCCTGGGAAGAGAGCGGTAGTGTGCGATTTGCATGATAGAATCGTGGATCTGAAGAAGTTGACCAAGAATGTCTTCGTCCTGCTGTCGCATTTTTATCTGTGAAAATATAATATAATATAATATAATATAATATAATATAGCTTTTGTCCCTAAATCTCGGAATCAGACAAATAGACGGGTGGAAGGGAAGACAAACAGGTAATATAAGGAAACTGGAGTGAGCTAAGAAAGGCGTTTTCTCGTGCCCACTTACATAATACATGGCATGAATCACGTACAAAATATATTAATTTCCATTTCTTCTAGCAGCATGTACAAATTCATCTGTTTGAACAGGGCATCTTTTTTACGCGGTGTTGATGAATAAACCCATTTCACAGTCTTGTTTCTTCTAAGTACAAAAATTGTAAGCTTATATCCCCAACAGTGAAATAAATTTTCATCTAGGCCTCTTATTACGGTAGAAAGAGGAATTATGATATGATATATTTGTTACTGGGGAAATTATGGATTTTATTAGGAATCTTAAGTGTCATTTGTAAGAGCTCGTCATTAATAGTCTGACGTGTAGAAGGGTCAAAATGTGTTTGCTGCCATCTGCTGACTCCTCTGTTCGCAGCAAATCTCTTGGCGACCTCTCAAATAAAATCCTTTTCCTCAGATGCCACTGCCATCTTTTAACATATACTGTACGTAATCACAAAACGATAAACTAAAATTTCTTTCAATTAAAAATATTTCATTTAGATGGTCAGCCGGTGTTAAGGCCAAGTAAATACTTGTGTATGGACACACAGATCGAGTTATAGGTCGTTGAGGAACACATCTTTCGATTTCATTTGATTTTTTACCATCCTTTCATTGTTATCTCCATAATCGTTATGCACAAATTGAAAAAAATCGGAGGATGATTAAAATTTGGTAAACATATTCACCAACCTACACAATATAGATTTTTAGAAAATTAATTCAAAGAGCTTTGAAACATAGGCCTATTTATCATTCTTTTTAATCAAAATATATTGCTCACCAGTTCACTTCTAATCCAGGCTAATTTAAAATCTATCCTCATCTTCGGGTCCTCTAACTCTTCCAGAATCTGCGGAGGTGCACAAGATGACTCCTTCATAATCCCCAAATCTTTAACCTCTTCCCACGGAATATCTGGTATAAGCCCATCATTCTTCATATCAAAATAACTTTCATCATCGTCATGGTCTGAGCCGTTCATGATACTCAAATTTACAAAGAATGATACGAATTTACAACTTTCCCTGCAAACTTGGTTTTTTGAGTGCATGCAAATCCCGAAGTTGTGAAACACGTGTTCCCGAGTAGTTCACTGGGTCTGCTGCGATGTTTATTACTTCTGGGTCGGGAGTATACCGCAAAAGCTACTCGCCTCGCCTTTCAAGTTATTTCTTGTCCCATGTGTTTTACAGCCCTGGAATGATGATTAAAACCAATAATATAAGTATCCCAGCGGTGGCAATGCACTGCAATAATTTTATTTATGCTCTGACGTGGCCGAAGAATAGCAGACAATGAAAATTGAGGAAAATTCTCTCAAACTTGGTAACTCATGCGGAACAGGACACAATGTGTTTGGAGTCTTTTAGATGAAATAACGGCAATAAGCATTTGTATTATCCGTCTAGCTAAATAGTCTGGATTCCATCTACACATGCTGCTGCTTTATATAACCCCTTTCGGCATCTGCTAACAGGGCTTTCTATAACCATCTGATAAAAAATCTTCGTTGCTTCATCTTACAAGTATTTCTTCAAAAAAGTATTAATCTCTCCTCCTTAGTAAATAAATAACCTACACCGATGCTGTAGAAAACTTTTAAACAAACAATACCGCTCTCCCACCTGCTTAAAGCAGTCTTTGAGAGTTTATACTACACAAAATAATTTGACAATTGCTACTGCAGCAATTATCTGCAGACAAACTCTTTTCTCTTTTTCCTTGTCAGCCTATTCCTACTAGATCTTAGTAATTCTTAACTCCACTCCTGTCAAGCGCTTGCAATGCTTTGACTATGAAAGATGGATTTCGTTGACAACTTCTGAGGTCAGAATCATCATACACTCCCAGGTTAAATCTATGTATGTTAAAATGCACTTACAGCATATTAAAAGGCAAACGCACACCACGGTTTCTGAGCGACAGAACAAAAATGCTATAAAAACCCTACCTTTTGTGCGGTTAATCAAATTGACATATCTAGTTTATGACTCTTAAAGGAGACTGAAAGGTGAACTTCCATCTAAGAAAAAGAAGTTTTAGACCTTTTCCACGTGAACTGCTGCACCCTGTTTCAGGTGAATAATGACTACAATGTATGATACATCAACGGCGAGGTAAACGTGTCGACTTTCTGCCTGCCCATGTCCGCTGAACTACACGCATTAAGGAGACACTTTAAAACCCACCCAACTTAAGAATGATATAGTATAACAATAATATAATATAATATAATATAATATAATATAATATAATATAATATAATATAGAACTAAAAATGTTAGTAATTCACAGAAGTGGATTATATTATACAAATACGTGAGGTCGCCCATGCCTTGCTTTTTCCTCTTAAAAATAGACTTAAATTTCAGTTCGCATGCTAGAGCTATTATTATGAGGCGGAACGGCTATAATGACGCATTCAATTAGACCTGAAAGATATTGACTTAAAGTTTTATACATAAAAAAGGGAAATTTCAACTGCTATTTGCATTTTATTCTACCTTTTGTTGACGCTGCAACCGAAACCATAACAAAAAGTTTATACTCGATGGATGGATTACTATAAAGATGTGAGGAAAAAGTCTAAAGCACACGTAATGCCACAATAAGCTGAGACGACGTATTCCGATCAACTTAGCTCATTCAATCTGGCTTGATACTGACACTTTATAGGAGTGTACAATCTGAGATAGTCGGACAGAATCACTGAACCATATCACGCGCTCTGTGTACCTGATTCGAACTGTTGCAACTCATTCTCCATATTTTCCCCTTTTGGTCCTTGTTGCAAATATTGGAAATGTAGCAACATGTATGTTAATGAGAGTGAAGTAAAATAATGAGATTTGCTGATCCCCAATATGTCGGATGTGTGATTCTGTAGAAACCCTACCAGGGCACCCTGCCGCATAAATCAACCTATAAATACATAACCATATACATGTAGTATATGGCCTGTCTGGTGGGCCAACAACTGAATAAAAGAGCGCTGAATGTAGACAGAACACATAAAAGAACTCACATCAGTGACTTGTTTTAAAACAACTCACAATAACATACCAGATGGCAAATATGAGCGAGTGCGTAGTAGGTGTCATTAGCATTTTGTTTAAAAATCAACAGTAAAATATACCAGGGGTTGACCAGTAACACCTGTTTTAATCTTTAAGTATCTTTTAAAATCATTTTGCGTGTACATTTAATTACTTTATCTCAGTCTTATCCGTAGCTTAAAGCTGTACGAGTCATAATTACCTGATGGTGTGCGCCGCTCATATTACTCGTAAGTAAAGCGAACAAGTAAATATTAGTCCTCCCCGTGCATTATTTCACGACTGTTTACCGTGTATCAGTGTACCTGAGTGTCTACGCTCCTCAAGTGTACACGGAAATGCACACCCATTAACGATCTCACTTATAATACAAGCAAAACCTAGAATGTACTGAGAGCTTCAAAATGAAAAAAATCTTGAACCTTAACACCTTTATAATACGTACCACAGTTGCAATATTGGACCGCTATTATCTACGTGACACAGACAATATCCACCAAAGTTCTGCGCTACTCACTCCAGATGAGTTCTTTTTTTACGCTGCAGTTCAGCAATGCCGTCATATTTACCTGACATGAATCCACTTACCTAGTGTATATGATGTATGAGTTAACCTCTGTGCTTTGTAGACGTAATAGATTGTAATTCCGCGCATGAAACGCTGGACGATTTTATATAGGTACCAAATCCCACAAAAATGTCTTATAAGACGCTGAGTAAGTCAACTCTAGTACTTGCCACAGACCGGCCAGGATTAATATAGTGTTTGGTTGTGAGTCGCTGTGCTCTTTACTATTCAGGTGAAGTCACTAAACGACCTCGGGTGTCGGATGGCTTGAGAATCTACCTTGTTTTCTTGAAAGATGAGCCGTTTGATTCACTGCCAAGGTTGCATTAAGGTCCGGATGAGTATGGGATGAATACGAACAGAACAGACTCAAAGGAAGAGTATGCCTACCGGTGCATTATAAATGTTTTTCACAAAATTGCACAAAAGTTTTTAACTGTTTCATATGTAATAGCAGAAAACTGGTATGAAGAACGGGGAGGGCAAAAGTTATTTAAGAAAAGCATGAAGGGTGCGAATACTTTCACAGATATATATTCAAACTATGTCTTCTTTTACCATTTTTAGCTCGATAAGGCAATACATTTATGGACGGACATTCACCTGAAGACAACTTGCTGTGTATGTTATAAGGTTTGACATACAACCAAATAAAGTTCAATGTTTGTAAAATTCCAAGCCAATAATTATAACTTGACCATATATTAAAAGAAGTGTAGTCTAGCATATTCATTCAAAGCATGGTGGGTACATGTAATCACTGTTAACTCTACATTTTGAAGTTCAAGTTTCCCGGTGTTACACACAATTATTTATGGAAATGCCCCTTTTAGATATCTTATAAAGCCAGTGAACATTAAAAAAGCCGTTAGGTCGTGATAGTTATTAGAGCGATTTACTTTCCCGCACCGCACTCAAATTTTTGTCCATTAACCAGAATAAAAACCTAAACGATTTATATTTTAGAACTTTTTAATGTCATTTCAAGAGAAGGGAAATCAGATTGTTGAAGATTGCTTTGTCTCACAATTAATTACATGAATTTTTATTCATCAACAGATGTCACACAGAATTTAAAAATTTTAAGAACGTATAACATTAGGGCCTACTACGTTTTTTTTTATTTTATTTATTTATGTTTTTTTAGTTATCATTATCAGTATTATGAATACTTCTTTTGAAAAGTTTTCGAAATGCATTTTTGCTGTTTTTTTTGTTTGTTAGTGCCAATATAGACTGCCAGTGCCAGATATGACAGAGAAATTGCAAGTCCACAACTAGACTATTTAGCCATGTGTGGACACATACAGTACATGTAAGCACCAGTAGCTCACAGAAAGTCTTCCTCGGATTGAGAAACTACAAATATTATTAGTTTAAACATGGTAAAACAAATGGGGGCAGGGAGTGTGTAAAGGACCTTGAAGACTACTAATACACATTTTTCTGAAGTGAAAAAGAGGGTGTTTTTACTTAAAAGGGCAAAGGACTATAGGTTGTAACCATAGCGGCAAACCGAGGTGCAATCTGTCGCCGAAGCGATGTCATTATCATGTCTCACCTGCCGCAATTGAGAATTTGTTCTGTTGGTGTTATTTATTGTGCAGTACCAAGACGATACTTTTACACGATACTTTTGCATCAAAATATTTTATTGATAATATTCTCTGGTTGCTTTCATATTCAAAATGGAATAAACAACAGTGCTGGTTTAAATTATTACCTTATGCTTAAGCAGCGCACGGGTCACAACAATGCGTCTAGGTGTCAAGTTTCACAAACAAGCTTGAATAAGTCTACTGTGAAGGTTGGTATAATAGCGACCATTATACTTTTGACAAAGGTTGTGGGGCCTATAAACTGTAACCTACCCTAACAAACAAAAACACACATAATCGAGACCGTGGAATGCATTTAAGGGTGAACTTAGTCTTAGGTTTTTAATAAAACCATGGCGTCTTCCCAACAACGAAGTACGGCGTACGTGTAACATACTTTGAGCGGTGCATGCTTATTTCACGTGTGCTAGAAAGCTAATGACCTCTACAAACGACCTGTTGACTGAGATTTCTCACTGTCTTGGATAGTTTACGCTGGCAACAAAATGGCGGATGTTGCCGCAACAGGGGATGAGGAGCCCAAGGATCATTCTACTTCGGAAATTATAGAGGAAAGCACCGACTACACTAATTCTGCGGGTAATGATGCAGATAAAGTCCAAGAAAATGAGATCCCAAGTCAAGAGAACCACGATGCCAACATAATCAGTAAGGGGGAGAGTGGTGAAAGTACCGGTGGCGATAAGTTCCAAGTCAATTTTTCATTGAGTATAGACTCACAACTTCTTCAAATTCAAGACTTCATGGTAAAGCATCACCAAGAAGTTGCCTCAGCACCACTGAAAGACTACAGCAAGCTGGAGGAGCTGAAGCAGTGGTTATCAGAGGCCGTCAAAGTCTACCAGAACTGTGTTAATCATGCTAAGGAGTTGTCCTCGAAAATCGGAGAAGTGAGAAGTATAGTCAGCAATTTCAGGACAAGCATTAGCGGAAAAATAGAACACGAAGGTCTAAAGAGCTGGTTATCAAAAGAGGCTGGATCGCAAGGTTTGTTTATGCCAACGGTGTTTCTGTTCTAAAAGCTGTATACTCGACAAGACAAATGCAGTGTATAACGATAGGGCCTACTCATAGTTTTTCAGTTACATATGTCAGTGGGTCATTCATTAACATATGGAAGTAATGTTCCTTTTTTATTTGTTTTCTTTGAATATTTCAAAACCATTAGTATTATTTTCTTATCCCTTTATCTTTTACCTTTCAAATCTGTTACGTCTCCGAACTGTCATTTAGGTATTTCCTTTTGTTTGTACAGGTTGTGAAAGTAAGAGCAAGCACAGACTGATGCTCTAATCGTTCGGTGAAAATTAGGCAATATCAGTCTTCTGTGTACAGATTGCTGATACTCAAAGACATCGGCAGAATAAATGCGCCTAAAACAAATTAATCTCGGTAGCCTTATCAGCAACATTCATTTATCATGTTGACCTAACGTAAGTTGATTTAACTAACCTTATTCAAGCAACAGATACATCAGTGAACATATGTCTCAAATGAAACTATCTGTCCTTTATATTTGTAGATTGCAATGAAATTGCCGAAGAAAAATCGGTTTTATCATGGGCTGCATCTGTAAAGTCCGACATAGCAAAGGTTGCAGTAGAGTTGGCTGAAGCAAACGAATTAGCCGGTCAAGCAGCAAGTGAAGCAGCAGATGCAGCGATTGCAGCCGATACTGCCTTGAAAGAAGCGAAGAATGCCGCCAAAGCTGCAGCAGAGGCCGCAAAAGCCGCAGAAGAAAAAGCGCGAGCAGATGAAGAAGCACGCATCCGAGAAGAGGAAAAAAGGAAGAAAAAAGAAGAGGAAGAAAGAAAGAAAAGGGAAGAAGAGGAAAAGAAACGCAAAGAACTAGAAAGCATAAAAGGCACCCCTGAAGAAATCGAACGCCAAAAGGAGGAGGAAGAAAGAAAAAGACAAGAGGCTGAAAGAAGAGACCCAAACAACTGGCCACTTTTCACGTAACTCCTAGACAGAATTATTTTATCATATTATTTTAAACCACACTACTTCGCTTAAACTAATAAAATAATGATATAAAGCAACTTTTTGTACAAAAAAGGCTAACACTAGCATATATAAGCTTCTCTAATGTGTAAAATGAATTATAAATAGTATTTAGTTTATTCTTAATGCAGTAACATGGTGTATACTAATTAGACGTACTTCAGTCAACGACTTAGGTGACAGACATTAGCCGGCATATCTTCCTGTGTACAATTATAGAGATATGTCACCGTTAAACACTCAAGTTGCGGCCTATTTTCACTAGGAGAAGAATTCACTAAGGAAAGAATACTTACCTTGCATTTTTTTAGCTATCGGTATAATGAAGAGCAAATCGATTTTGATCTTGGTATCATGGCTGTGGTTCGCTCAATGCCCTGGACCATGGATCCGGATGATGAAGAGAGTCTGCAATGTAAAAAACTAAACCAACTCGACTCTACTCTCACAATTGCGGAAAACGAGGAGCTAGTCAGCAACATTGTGGAAATCGTCCCATCCAGTGAGAAAGTAGTTTTCAAGGTAATTCCTTTTAGTTTTGCTAATTGATCCTGATCAAAGACTAATAGATATGATACGCGTTGGAATAATTTTGTACTAGGCATTTCGATAAGGATAAATTTATATTTGCAATATGACCCTTACCCCTGAAAGTTTCTCTTTCCAGTTTGAGGAGCCTTTGGCTGTTGCAATCCCACACTGCGCACAAAAAGTTTCCAGTCGAGAACTTGCTGTTAAATACTTGGAGACAGGGAAGGATAAGTGGAGGGAGTTACCGTCGCAGGAGATCATTCTTCAGGATTTACGGGTATTGTATCTTTCCTACTACTAAAATTATATGTGTCTTTTCAACTACAAACATTAATATGATTTTGCAGTTTGCAGTCCTTCATTTAACATTTTATTTCATTTGAAATACTATTTAATAAGGAAATTTACTTATGAAGAGTTTAGAATTCTTGACCCCTAGCCTCCTCGACCCCTCTCTTGTGACTGAAGTCACATAAGAAAAACAGTTTTCCTATAATATGCCTAGTATTGGTTTATGCTAATTAACATTTTTTCTAGGAAGCAAAATTTGTCCAGTGTCGTCTGAAGACATTCGGCCAGTTTGCAGTGGTGACAAGGTTAAAGCTAGATCGACTAGTGCCCAATAAGAAAGACGGCAAGATGTCGTCAACCGTTGATCAGCGCCTAGTGCTGCACTGCAGACCTGGGACTGTACCTTCAACTGCTACCTTCGGGCTGCAAGTAAGAACAGAAAATAAAATGCAAAAATGGGTGCATTAGTGTAAACCACGCTTAGATGAATTTCAACACGGCCTGTTATAATAAACATAGTTTTTTTTTCGTTCCTTTTTGTCTGTTTTTGAGACACTTTCATGTGCTTTAGGGCAAAATTGTTTAATAATAAAAGCTGGCTATTCAAATATTTCAGTTTGGTAAAAATCATTTTGAAATGATTAATTCATGTAAATGATAGTTTGAACATGAACGTTCGTGGATAATTAGCAAATGCGAGAGATATCCAACCTTTAAAATAAATAAATAAATAAATAAATAAATATGAATATTGCAGGTACAACCGGTTGACTCATTCGCGATTTCTGAGCTAAAAGTACGCTTATCCGAGGATTGCGGCCCCTTGCTTACCTGTAGCCCTATCGTACGCTTCCAATGTAGCACGTCCAAGTTCAAGAAACCCATACAGGTGACCATACCATGCCCTCCCAACCCTAAGGCGAAGCGACCGCAGACTGCACGACCCAAAGAGAAGGAGGGAAAGTCCACGCGACCGTCCTCGGCTTTCTCGCTTGGTTTAAAACAAAAGGCTGAAGGTAACGTACTTGTCTAATGATTTTTTTATTAAAAGTTTAAAAAATGACAAACGAAAAACGCCCAAGTGCCATGTTTCGGATTGATTACGTTGTGAATGGATAGAAGTGTTTATTACAAGGTTATGCTTTATTTGTACGGTCTTGTAGTCTGCCAGTGCCAACATAAAAAGCTGAGTATAAACAGGCACGTGCAAAGTTCTGTGGCGAACTCTATGTAAGTCGAACAATCTTGGATATTATTGGACATTATGATCATGATGCGAGCCTCTGACAACGTCTGTGTAATATACCGATATAAACTTATACATATATTTTTTGCTGGAGCACGTATTTGTGTGAATTGTACATAATGCCAACTGAAGTCAGACGATTTTATTTTTTTATCTTGTTTTCATTCACCTTGGCTTTTTTTTTATCATTTTAGATGATGACTTAGAAGATACTGTGTTCTTGCTGACAAGAACAGAAGGCGACGAGGGGTGGATTGTAATGGCGGACATAGACATAAGTGAATCGAAGAAAAAAGACGCAGTCATATTTGAAATTACGAAACCATATGATAGGTACTAAATTGGGAAAAAAGAAGACTTTTTTTTTCCAAAGTCATCAGCGTCATTCGCTACAAGGGCCAAAACTAAAGCTTTTGTTGATTCCGTTCCATCATATTCATCTAACTGTATGGTATTTACAGCAGAAGAATAGGGTAGATTCTAAAATTGAGATTCCTAAAGACCATAATCTTTCAGGGAGAAAAATCTTGTCAAAAACATTTAGTAAGTGTTATAGCATTCTTGGCCATTCACGGTTACAATTTTAATATTTTTCCAAAACAAATTCGGTTGTTCTTTGAATAAGCTTCTATTGTAATTTTGAGTTCAAACCTCAACTGATGAAATTCTTTGTTGGATCACTTATTATATATCTGTTTCAGGTTCATGGCACTAAGGCTGAAGCATGGAGCTGGTGGAATGAAAGCACAAAAGCTTGCAAATCTAATAGAAACGGCCCTTCAGAAACGAACGGTAAGAGCAGTTCTGCGTCAAAAATCTGACGATCCGTCCGACGTTAGTCTTCAATGTCTTGCCGCTAACAAAATAGACAAAGCTCTTCGTAAGATGACCGAAGAAGGTTTTGACGATGGTCCACCTGCGAGTAAAGATCTAGTACTTACCGAGGGACAAGAACTGTTTTTGCGTTTCCGTGGAAACATTCAATGCGAGGACGAAGAGGAAATTCTCAATTTTTGCTTTAACTCACAGTTAAAGAGCGGCGTCAATATATACGTGACGGAAATAGATAAATTTGCTCAGAAGAGTCTAGACTGTTATCGTGGCTTCGTCCAAGTGTACACCAAAGGCATGATAAAACAGATTATAAAGAAAGAGAACGAAGACAGAGACGCAGTTGGCGGAAAGAGTGGTCCAAAAGAGGAAGTGACGTGGGTGATGGGGGATATTCTACTTTGTGAACTGCTGGTCAGTTTACCTAAGGTAAGGTATGGTAATACACGCGTCTCTGTGTTTACACATTTTTTCAGACCTTGACATATAAAAACACATTTCATAGTTTTTTTTTTGCAGTACATTCAATTCCGTTTCAATTTTTTTTTCAGTTGGTAGGATGTAAATAACTTTTCATGTTTCTTCTCATAACTTACTTATCAACATAGTGCCACTTTGATTAAATTTGCTCTCTCTTGACAGCATACTGTTGAACTGAACTGTTCTCTTTATACAGCCTGAGCCAGAAGCTCCTAAACCTTTGGTCCAAAAAGCACCTGTCACATTTATTCCTGATGGTGAGTAAAGGCATCAAATAAGTATGTCAAATAGCATGACCTCATTTTATTCTCACTATTATTACGCCATCAGTGACTTTAACAAGTTTTTTCCGATAAGATATAATATGGAGAAGTGCATGTAAGATTGTTATGAGAGGAGAAATATATTATTTCCCTTTATAGGTCCGGTCGATGAAAGTGTTCTTCGTAATATTGCGACTGATCTTGGTGATGAATGGAAGAAGGTTGCACATATTTTGAATATTCGAAAAAGTCGCGTACAGGCTATCCTGCGGAATAATGTCAACAGCGACAACGAAGTGGCTATATACGATATGCTGATCACTTGGGCAAAGAAAGTGCCAAGATCAATGGACAAGGTATGTGGTATTTTGAAGATATCTTATGTTCAGAACATACATGTATAGGCTGGAGGAAACGAGGTATTTGCGATGAGAGTGATATGAGGGTGAACTTTTGTTCAAAATATTGATAGCTTATATGAAGAAAATGTGCCAACCTGATCCTACCGTGTATCAACTGTTTTCGTTTTTGCAACTTTTGCCGATAGGTAGAGCTGCTGGGAAAAGCGCTGACATCGGCGGGTCGCCCTGATCTTGCATATATTGTGTATGAACATGATGATGAATACAGGCAGAAAAGAGCCGAGGACATAAAAGGTACGCATTATTATGTATGTGTGATGGTTTGAAAATACGTCTACCTGAATGCATTATTAACCAAATGAACTGTGTGTACCTCAGTATTTGTGCATTTTTGTCTTCTTATTTCAGATAACATATTACGCAAAGCCTTCATTAAAATCTGCCAGGACAGCCAAGTCCATGCAAACTATGTTAAACTGTCCCGTCAGCTCAAAGTGACAGACGAACAGTTGAAGAATATTGAAGGAGAGTATGATGGCATGCGGGAAAAAATCTTCCAAATCCTCGTGAAATGGAGGGAAAATCTTGGACCACGTGCTGAGCTCCTTCTTCTTGTGAAAGCGCTTAGGAGAATAAGATTGCTTGAGTTATCAGGTAAAAAAATCTTTAGTGTTAATATGATAATTTAGCTAGTGTAGGATTTACTTTCTTCTAGGACCATTGAATTAATTGGGTCTTAGCCTTCATTAGTTTAAAGAAAAAAATACATGTACGACAGAAATATTTATTAGGTTGTTCAAAAACTAACTAGATTTTAGCGAGTTTTTATAAAGAATATACTTTCTCACATTTCAGAGCAAGTGCAGCTTGTTGGCTAGAAATGACATTTTAGCAACTAATCCGATATTGTTGCTCTGGATGCATTATATTCCTCCTTTTGTTTAGATGAAGTTACGTGTTCCAGTAACTACTTTAATGTTTTCTGGATCTAAGCATTATGAGTAATGTCGTAACATTATCACAGATTAAGCTGTTAAATTATTTTCATATCGTTCTGTTCTGTTCTAAAAGTATTTCTAAATATTTAAATGTTCTAAAAGTATTATTAAAATAGATTTACGCATTACTTGTTTTACATTGTGCCGTAATGGACTAGATAAGTGTCCAGTGCTTGTTCTTTTAAAAGTGAAACCTCTTTTTTACGTTGAATTTCTCCAAGGTGTAATTTCGTTTTGTTTGTTGCTTTTATGTAAAAGTGTCACGTCCTTGCAGTAAACCGCTGCTTTAATCATAGTAGGCCTACTTTACTCCAGAATAAAAGTCTGTTATTTTTATTCTTTCATCTTTTTTATTTTAAATAATGATAATAATGATAATTTATAATATTGATTCTTCTTATTATTATACTAAAAACATAGTTGTTAAATATACACGTGTAAATGAAAAGGCCATACATCATATAACCAAAAGTAAATAAATAAAATATACACTCAAATGAAAAAAAAAACAGTGTTCCGGTACCGGGAATCGAACCCGGGCCGCCTGGGTGAAAACCAGGAATCCTAACCACTAGACCATACCGGACTGCTGAAGTACGCATATAGTGCTGTTCCGTTTGATACATAAGTTACTATGTGCCACTCAAGTATCAGACCATGTTTTTTTTTATTACACAAATTTTCTCAAAATAAAAAAGAAAGCTAAAAGTGTAATTTAACAAGCTACACATTATGTAGGCCTACAGGTCAAAACAGTGTTGCGGTGCATCGGTGTGAAAACCCTATTAGGTCTACTTGAGGGACTGCTGCGTACAGCTGTGTTCAGAAAGGTGCGAAGATTCGTAACCTATTACAGTAGGCCTAAATGGTATCAAATGCCTGATATCGATCAATTTTAGGTATTACCAGACAGCTGTGAAAACGGATTAGGAAATTCCTGAGGTGCTGGTTGATTAAGCCAAGGAGTTACAACATTTTAACGAACTTTTGAATGCTTTTCTCTTTGTGTACTCTCGAAGAAACTTCTGAAGGCACCTTTTCCGGAAAACGAGATTCAAACGAGACCGTAACAGAGATAGTCACCCATTGTTCTCCGGGTTCTATTCATTCCGACCAATGAGAGCCGTAAAACGGGCTCCGCCCCCACGCGTGTAATCTCCTTCTGTTATAACTCCTTTATTAAGCTATGTGTTCAACTGTACTGGTTGTTAACCTATGTTAGAAAAAAAAAGAGAAGGAACTTGGTTTTATAAAATTGCAGGCTTTCAAGGCAGTTCACTTTGTAGAATGCCAAAATATGAACTTTCTTCTGTAAAGAACACATGCAGTCTTATTACAGAGGAATCTCACATGGTGTGTTATGTGCATGCGGCGATACGCGCATGAATAAAAAAATCGAAAAAAAATACTTCAATCAACAGCTATAATAATGTTGTTGTCCTTGTTTACCAGTGTTGGGCCTGAAGCTGACTAGAAAAGAAAAGATCATGTTTTTTGTTTAACCCACCCACACACTCCAATGTTAAAATTGGGACACTTAGGACACTTATGTACAGGGCGGAGCCTTTAATAAATAAATAAATAAACAGTAAGAAATCAAACCAACAAGACATATTACATAGATCCATTATGAAAAACTAAAAAATGAAAACAAGTAGACCTACTTGGTATCAACGGATACCATGTAGGATTACTTGTTTTTGATTTTTAGTTTTTCATTGTGGAACATGACTGAGATGAGATGACTGGCGTTTTGTTTGTCCAAGTTGACATGCACTAAGACAGTCTTTGATAAGGCAGTGCTGGAGGGAGGCAGTGACTTAGATATTTTTTTGTGATTCGACCGTCTGGGCTCAAACATTTTATGTTAAATCTTCTATGTTTACCTCTACAGGTTGAAGTTCAAAGGCTGTTCTGTGGTAGCCTTCTTGCACTCTACCAAAATGTAAATATGCATGTGAAATGGTATTTTTCACAAATAATATGAATAATATGTATTAAACAACAAAACTAAAATTTCCCCCGAGTTATTGTGTTAGGGCCTATATGCCGTGTATCTGTGTTATTTGGATTGTTGAGCACTAACTTTTCAATAATAAACCCCCGGGATAAAAAAAATAATAAAACAGTAAACATTGCCATGCTCAAATTTACAGACCAATTCTTTTTCTTAATTTCCTTGCGATAACACGCTTGATAAAGCAGGACAAATGTGTAGCACCTGTAAGAATGAGTAAAGAAAACAACCTAAATAAATTATCGATAACGAGTCACTGGGGCTTTTATACGGCGGTATAATCGATCTTTGCCTGTGCTCAGCAACAAAGGTCGCCAACTAAGAGTTCCACATAGCGACAAATTGCACAATCTATGAGGCCTATTAGCAGCCTTGGACACCAAATTGTATACAACTGAAAGAAAGAACCGGTGAGATCTTATCGCAGTATTATGCCTAAAGCCCATGGTGGAAAGCGGGTTCAATTGGCAGAAGGCAATCAAAAGAAAACGGGAAAAGGTCCCCAGGAGCAGGAACAGGTGCTAAACTGCCAACCAAGCGAACCGCGAGGTGCAAGAAGTACGACTGACACGCTGGGAGGGTTCCAACTCACGTACACTGGAGTCCATAAAGCAGGCTTTAGAAGTCAGCTAGAGTTTACAAACCGTCTTGCCGCACCAAAGAATGTTCCAGAGTCCAAGAGACTGACCCCAAAAGAGGTGCTAGACAAGAAAGGACTAACGCATAGTTACCAGTGGAACTCCAACGGACGCTTACATCATGGGTTTAATTGGTAGCACAGTTTCACTGCTGTAGAGTTTGATAAATGCTTTTGATATTTATTTTACGTCTCGAACCAAGATTAACCGCATTGATTTATTTAGACTATGTTCGTATAACGATAGCAAAGCGTAGCGTGTATCACAGTTATCAAAGCCAAGTCAACTGAATATATACGTCGATATGTACACGTATCAACCTAGCAAAACTCGCCACGTTGTCTCGGATGTGAAGTACAGAGATCCTCCCGTGATAGAAACAGAGGATGATATATACTTAATAAAAATTCATCCTAAACATAGCCCAGAGGAGGTGGCGGAGCGTATGCAGCACCAACACACCACAGAAAGTGAGGCGAAATCTTGGGAGGAAAAATATTCCAAGAGACAAATAAGCAAGAAACTCTGTGGACTTTATCGGAGGAGGGATGATTTTTACGACATCCCAGCATATCGTATTGTGACAGAAAAACAATGTAAAGATATTGTAGAGCGATTGGCCGGGACTCCTACCACCTCTACACTGCGGAAAAAGCGTGAGAAAGTCGATCCCTCTGCATCTGCCCCACAAAGTGAAGATGGAGATGAGAATAAAGAGGGGTGTCAAAAGAAAGTGCTTTCGGATGAACAGTTAAATTCTTTACTTTCTCGGTTGTGCAAGCCGTCTTTCACCGTCAGTAGCCCACGACATAAGCGTCGATGTCACCCTTGGCTTCGAAACCCTCCGACAGAGTTGGAACAAGTAGAGACACAGCAAAGTTAAAAGTTTGACTTTACACACTGTACATGTAATTCTAAATGTTCATACCACGTACTAGAACGTACAAATTAAGTGATGGTTTTTACATGATGTTAAGCATCAACATTCTTGTAATGCATTGACCAAGATATCACTATGCGTACATTGAAAGTTTTTACACGTATATTTTTTTTGCAATTAAAAAAAATCATTTGGACTAATTTTTCATATTTTTTAATTTTATATTGAGCATATTCGATTGATTAGCACTAATGAAATATATTTAAAAACGAGCAATAAAAACGTTTGCGTAATAACAACTTCTCTTTAGTTTTACAGCTTTTCAATCATTGCTTCAAAATTCACTGTTTATTCCACGGTATTGTAAACGGGGAATTTAATTTTAACTTCCCATCAAAGGAAGGAGATTTTAATATGATATTCACTTTTTGAATCTCGTTCTGGTAGTAAATATAAGATGAAACTCAACAGGAGCCCACAGTAACTTTTCCGTCTTTTCCCCACACCACTGATATGAAAAATATTACAAGTCATCGCGATTTTATATTTCATTACTTGGCCTAAATTGTTTGAAATAGAAGTAGCAACGACAAGAAGTATGGAATTCGTTACGGAGGAGAAGAAAACTGTGGAAGGATCTGTAACTGACAAGATTACAATCCAAATACATATTGTAATTAATTCAATCATTTTAAACGAACAGTTCCATTTTTTGTGTGCGTGTATGGCTTGTTAATTTGTCTTTCCATAGCCAGGCCCGTGGCCGGGGGGGGGGGGGGGGGTTGGGGGGTTAAAAAGAACCGCCCCTTTTGTCAGGAAAAGGTCCATTTTGGGTAAAATTTGATATAGGTAGCCTACACATAAATTTCATAGTAAAACGTCCACTTTTTCAGAAAAAGAACCTCCCTTATGAATTTGCTGACTATGCATCCGTAGATAAAATTTGACTGATGACCTTTGTCCTCCCCCCCCCCAAATAAATAATAAAAGGGTGTCACAATGATAGACTTAAAGATCAAGCGACTAAAATCAACGGCTATGTGTAAGATAATACACTATCACTCGAGCGGTATATGCCAGAACATCATGAGCGTCAGCGAGAAGTATTCAAGACATATCGCGAGAGGGTAGTAGTGTAGGCCTACATGTTTTATTTGACATACATGTCGACAGAGAGTACTTGCATTTCATCAAAATACACCATTAACACTGAATAAAGCGTATATATATATCGCCGCGATCACATCACACTTCCAGGCAAGTAGGCCTGCTCATTGCTTTTTCACGTAATGCGTTAGGTGTACCAACTAAGAACACCAAGAGCATTAGATTTAAGACGTTTATTACAAACGAACTGCCACAGCATTCAGAGAGGAAAACATACAAGCACATGTACCTTACTTCATATATACGTTATGGTAGAGGTAGTCTAGAAAAAAAACTGAAATAAGAAAGAGGTATTCAAAAGAGAGAAAAACACACTAGTATTAACTACACTTGAATCCATGTTCAATGCCATTGCATTATTTTCATTGTGTCGAAGAGAAGAAAACGGACGTTTTTCCAACTTTCAAAGAGTATGAAGAAGGGACCTCTCCGTTAGTTATCTGTTTGAACCTTAAATGCTTTTCATACTCGTCTCGCAAAACGTCGTCATAAAAGTGGACAAATCTATACTCATCACCGATAACGAGTCCGTAAGAAACTAAATACCCCGCAGCCTCTGCGTTGTTCAAAGTGACAATCCACCTGTTGTCCAAGCCGTTGGTTGCATATAGAACATTCATCGGCTGGAACTGAATGGAGACAACCTTACCGCTACTTGTGAAAAGTATTTTGTCATCAATGACTGCCTTTACCACTGCGTGGGTCAAGTCTGTCCCCGGGTACTCGAAGCACACGGTATTAGGATGAGGCTCTGGGGGTTTGGAAAATTTCACTAAAGCCTGGTGTTTGCTGAGAGAAAACTTGGATAATGTTTCTTTTGATGTCTTTTTTGCCTCTAGCTGGGGAAGACTGATCACCAGCTGTGGCCCCACTCCTGTTTTACGAACTGCGTCGTGGGAACTACAAATTGAATATAAATGGTGATATTACAAAACATGTACGTGTATGATATTTATCTGAATTGAAGTATAATTCTAATATAAATGATGATCTTACACTACACGGGTAATCATTTGATTGAAATGAACTATA